TAGTCCTCAGTCCTCTACAATTCCACTGTGCATAATATGATCGTGATAAACCATCTTTTGGGGGATTTATTGGGGATCTTCCCCGTACTTTTGTTGGGCGACAAGCTGTGCGCCCTAGAACGGACAGTTTCGGACACATCCATGTCCTCAAGGGAACCATATTTGTTGTATAAGTTGATTTGATTTTCTGACCCTTTTGGGCTCTGCCACTGAATGTTTTGAAAAATCTGGCTTCTTACCTTTGCCTTTAAGGGGCTGTGTAGACTTTGATGACGACTGAGATGATGTGTCAAGATCAGAGGATGTTTCACATTGGCTTTGAGACGTAGTAGGAACTGGTTCTGTTGTTTGGGTCGATATTGCAGGTGAGAATATCAGAGGAGATTCGGATTTAACCCAGGTCAGGTTTGTCTGACAGCATGCAGATGACTTTGTTATTCTAGTGGTTGCTTCTGACGGTGTTTTGGTGATAGAAGCATAGCTCTCCTTATGCTCTGAGCTTTGAACTAGTTTTTTTGCATCGGCAAAACTAATGTTTTGCGTAAATTTGATTCTATTTATCTCCATTTGATGTTTCCAAACAGGACAGTTTTTAGAGTAAGATGGATGATCCCCTTCACAGTTGGTACATTTTTTGACATTACTGTCACAATCTTCTGTTGTATGTGTCTTTTCACCACAGTGAGCACACACAACAGACAATGTGCAAGTATTAACCCCATGACCGAACTTTTGGCATTTGAAGCATCTAAGAGGGTTTGGAATGTACATTTCAACGTTGATGTTACAGTATCCTGCTTTTAGTGATTTTGGAACATTTGGAGAAGAGAAGGAAAATAGATACGTATTTGTTTTTATAGTTGCATCATTTCTACGGGTTGTGAAACGCTTGACATAAAGTACGCCTTGATCCTTCATCTCAGTGACGATGTCGAGCTCTGACATGTCTGCAAACAATCGATCCTGATCCCTGATAATTCCTTTGCTCGTGTTGAGTGTTTTGTGAGCAGAGACCGTGACTGGAATGCCGACAAAAAGAATCAATACTCATAAGATTGGTGCCTTTTTGCACACTCAACCAGCAGAGCACCAGAACGTAATCGCTTAATGTTCTTGACGTCACCAGCGATGCCTTGTATACCTTTAGCTACGGCAAAAGGATTCAACTTCAAAGGTGTCTTGTCAATAGTGTCAAGCACAAGAAAACGTGGCCAGTAATCAATTGAGTTGGGCAGTCTGAGGTCAGTTTCAACAGGATCAGTGTCAAGTTGACGCTTGGTCTTTTGGGGGTTTAGGTAAGCCATGGTAAGTTAGTAAGATTTCATCATCCGAGCTCCCCACCCACCACGGAGTATCACACAGGACAATGCTAAAAACAAGTGGATTTCCATCTTGCAGCACCAAGGATACTCGGATGATATACGCCAGCAGAAGAGTTGTAAAATATTACTAATCCACCAGATTGGCCCATGAGCCACCGCCTTCTGGGCATAAGACTCTAGGCAAAGTTCATAACATCATAGTTCAAAATCACAATAGTTTTAGATGAACACTTAGGCCAAGTCCGAATTTATAATAATTCCAAATCAGATTTGTGCAATGACATATATAGATATGTAGTCTATACACAGGGCTTGGCGTGACCAGCCGATTGATAGAACCGGGCCAGTTCTACCACCCGTCTAGGTGAAGTAAGGGGCGAAGTGGTGTGTTGGGCAAAGGAACACTGTTCCTGGAACCAGTGCCCTCAACCACCAGCCTCCCGTCCTCCACCGACACAGGGGCGCAACCCACGGCAAACGGGTTGGTGGACCAAAATATCCCCCCCGGGTCCACAACGGGGGGTTGAAAGGCGCTTAGCGTGACCCAGCACCCACCACGAGGAGGTGGCCTTTCATGGGTGCCAAAAAGAACTAGAATGTCACAGTTGGAGATACAAAACTAGAATGTGACTTAAAAGTATATACTATTTAGGACATTACAATATAAAAACAGGTTATAGATCACCAGTAACTGAAGGTAGATCACCATACTAGGGACTGGTAGCATCAGGCCCGGTAAATATAAACAACAGGGTGTCACGACTGTGGAACCTCCTCAGGCAGACCCGTGAAGATCCGGGTTAGAATTTATATTCAGCATCCCATGTTGTCGTGAAAGGCGACTAACCTTATCGGGTGGTCAGGCTTGCTGACTTGGTTGACACATGTCACCGTATCCTAATTGTGTAGATCAATGTTGTTGATCACAGGATCGTCTGGTCCAGACACGATTGTTTACAGACCGCCGAAATATAGTTGCTATATTGCTAAGTGCGTCGTTAAACAACAAACTAACCAACCGACTCTTCAGGCAAGCACGGACGTTGTAATGAGACGTGGTCGATGACGGACGCTCAAAACAACATAATGAGCCGATCTGGTGAGGTGTGCTGTGGATTTAACGTCGTGCTTGAGATTATTCCGCTCATAAGACGACGTGCATGCGTGTGTATGTGTATGTGTGGCTGCTTGTACTAGCCCAGACTTAAGCTAGGTTTATAGTGCTAGCCCACTGAGATACCATGCCGCAGTGAAGCATGAATACCCCACTCAGACACATTATACTCCGAGCTGACCAGTCCTTGTTGTACCCATTAATGTCGAGAACCAGACAGGGAACAACAAGAACCATATTTTAACGTCTTTTGGTATGACGCGGTCGGGGATCGAACCCGCGACCTTCCGCTCTCCGGGCGGACGTTCTAACCACTACACCAGGGAGGCGGTTGAGCCTATCTGGTAAATTGATTCCGTACCTTCGGTATAACAGGCTAACTTTTCCATCAATACGCAACAGTAATTCCACTGACATATATGCCTCGTCACAAATAATCTTCAGGTAGACAAGCAAGGCAGATGGGTTATAAACACGATTTATTTACGGTGAACCCAAAACAACACAAACAATAAACATTTGTCCTCAGTATACATGACTGGCGATTATTGATAAAATGGCACAACTAGTTTTGCCTGACATCACTTACAACAAACCCTCTGTGGGGTCAAGGTGGGTGGGTGGGACGTTATCAATATTAATATACAGCCAAATTCATTAGAGTTCATGTGCTTGTTGCTGAAAAGTCTAATCATATAAAAACTGGTTAGATTAATCCAGAACACACAATATCTAATGTAAATAGAATACAACTATCAGACAAAATGTCCGATATATACAGCAAAATATATAATCTGAAAAAAGCATACCTGGTTGACTTATTATTATATATTGATCCGGTACACATTACAAAGTGTCAAACAGCGGATTTGATAACAGATAACGGTTTTCGACAATGTAGTCCTGTTTTTTTACTAGAATGTATAAATGTTTCTTGTCAGTGTAGGAATACCTGAATGTGTCCCACAGCAACATATACTCTCAGAACACGTCTTCAAAATATTGAAAAACAAATGCACATTAAGTATCCTATTTCATTGACACAATAACAGCCAATTGTTTCACTCCGACTGTCAAGTTTGCTATGTGTCTCTTTTACTTTCCATAATGCAAAAGCATTATTATTTTCAAAATCAAAATAGCTGAATTTTTTTAGCAATTTTCACGGACTTTCATTCATATAATAATAAGCTGCTCAAGACAGATTACCATGTAGTTTTACACCCCCAAATTTCCTTAAAACATAGTCTCTATTCGATCCGTCGGCTATATTGCCATCTCTTTAACTGATGCTCCTTTGTCTTCTGAAGCAGAATCAGCAGTGGATCCAAAAACATTTTGATCAAAGTCAGCCTTTTTGTCAGGGTTGATTTGGGACATGCGTTTCCCTTTGTTGGGTTTATAATTTTCCTTCAAGTTCCGAACCTTGGGCCTTTTCCTTGTGACGTTGTACTTCCGGGCAACCCGTGCGATTCTGTTACGACAGACAATCAGGACAAAGATGAATATGAGCAGCACGAGCAACACAATCACTATACCTATGATGAGGTACACAGGTGAAGATGCAGGTGTTGGAGGTGTAGTGGATGACGTGGTGATGGGGGTGGCGATGGAGGTGGAGGTGGAGATGGAGGCGGAGATAGAGGTGTATGTGGTGTCACTTCCTGGAAGAAGCAAGAGGGGTAAGCATTAGGCTCACAAGCATCAGTGCTCTCAAGATCTAAACCAGTTTGAACTGAATGACCTTTGTTTAATGTTTAGTGACCTACTGTAACAAAGAGGTCACAGAATATACTTTGACAGATATATTTTCAACTACATGTTTAACTGGAAACAAATAGATCTTACAACTGCAGTGAACATAGTGTCAGGTATTTATGAATCTATAAAATACACGCACCTGTCGATGTCGATGTAGTTGGAGATGCTGAAAGCATTAACAATACACAATGTCAAATTCTCCTTCTATTGGATTCTTTTTCTATCCAAAAATAATTTCATATGGTTCGATCACTGGAATTTTATTATGCCAAGAATGTTGATATGATAGATTCTTTAAAAATTATTAATCCATAGAATTACAGAACAGGGATAACACAGAGTATGAATATGAGCACATGCAGGCGTTGACGTTGGTGGTGTTGCAGTTGATGTCGCTCCAACTGCAAAGGTAAAATAATGGTTTTAACATGAAAGAGGACATTTCTCCTTCAACAAACAAGAGAAGAAATTTGTACAAACGTAATTCAATACTGCTGAGTAATACATTGTTGGTCAAGTCAAAGTGTACTTAATTGCAATTTTCCCTAGAAACCAATGTGTCTTGTGTATCGTGCGTAATGTAGAGCTTCTTATAAAACTGATACCAAGTACATCGTCGTGGTCAAACTATATATGAGGAAGCTGAGACGTAGAATATAAACATACCTAATGTATATATATGTGTGTACATCTTTTATGTGTATATATTATGCAATACCAGTGATATTGGGCCTTATGTATTGAACAAGAAGGTGTCATGGCGGGGGAAAAACAGTTGGAAGTTCTTTTTCACCTACCATGACATCTTCGTGTTCAATACAGAAGGTCCAAATGCACTGGCATGACATTCTATCTTCATCAATACAGATTTATTAAGTGAACAACTGTATTACTGTATTTGCAATTTTCTTGAATTATAGTCTGGTAGATGACCAGGAGCAAATTCACGAGGATCGTCCAGGGTCTGGGTCCAGGCTGAGCATGCGTCGAGGCGACGACAAGACGTGTTTGTGTCTCCATCTGATTGAATCAACACGATTTTAATGTAAACTGTCTCAAAATACTCCAAAGCTGTCTACAAAGTATGGGAAAGAAGTTCATATCACCTGAAAGTGATAAGAAGGGCCGAAAACGACATAAACAGTCTACCTCACCTACCGAAATCAGCGAGAAGACTACAGGTGACACGTCAACAATGGCCACGTCAACACTGGATAGCACAGCCAACATCGTGGGAGACTCTCTACAGACTATCTACAAGCCCAACCAGCAGACTGTTTTCACTACCCCACAAGACAATATATAAGTCAGGTACCCCCCAGCCATTGCCTTGACTCAACCTCGGCAGCCATCTTGGCCAGGTTAGAGTCCATGGATCACAAACTTTCTAAGTTGGACTCAATAGTGAAAGATGTGAATGACATTAAGACAAACATTGCTAACTTGGAACTAAAAGTGAAAGATATTGACGATGTTAAAGAAAGGGTCAAGGCTTTGGTAGAAAGCGCAGGGTTTCTCAGTGACATTTATTATGATCTAAAACTGAACAAAGTGGAAATGGAAAAACAAATCGCTGATATTTGGGCCCAGTCAGCTAGCAGCCCAAATAACAATCTAAGCCTCCGTGAAGCCCTCGTAGACCAACGTTGCCGATCTATGAGAGATAATCTCATTTTCACCAACATCCCTGAGTACGTAGCTAAAACAACTCAACCTTTCGAAGACTGTGAACAGATATTGAGAAACTTTATCAAAGATGAATAAAGCATGAGGATGGTGACAAGATTCAATTTAAACGTGTTCACAGAATAGGACCTAAACGCAGTCCACGATATCATGGGGAGTCTATCAGACCTCAACCCATCATTGCAAAAATTTTATCACAAAAGAGAGAGAGAGAGTGTTAAGAAATGTGGGAAAATGTTGAAAGGAAAACCATTCCATATTGTGGAACAATTCCCGGAAGAAATCAGTGACTATAGAAAGAATGTTCTGCTGCCTCTGTTGAGGGAGGCTAGGAAAAGCAGAAAAAGGGCAGTGATTGTAGTAGACAAGCTGTATGTTGAGAATACCCTCCAGTCCCCTGTCCCTCCCCTACAGAGTACCCCAGGGACCCAGCCATCCCATACAGAAACCAACGTAGGGAGACGTCGGTGGGCAGGAGCTTGAGTCAGTCAGTACTACATGGCCTGCATCCCCCTCTGTATATTATCCACCAGAACAATATGACACTCACTCATGTGTACTCCAAACCTCCAAAAGTGACTCACAAATACCCCAGTTTTCATTAAAGACAGAAGTACAAAATACTGAGACCTCATATGATCAATACCTAGTCAGTATTGCCACATATGCCAAAGCAAATACATCAATGACTCTCATTTGCAATGGCTCTGATGTGTACCCTGAACACAGTGATGTTAATTTTGCAGACCAAAATAATGTGGTTTGTCTTGATGCTATTGACATTATTGACGATAAAATTGTTGAAGCCAATGAAATTATAAATTGTGATGCTGTTGATATTCGTGAAGACAAAATGAAACATATCAACAAAAGTGTAAATAATGATGTTTCTGAAATTGATGGCAAAATGAAACATATCAACAGAAGTGTAAATAATGATGTTTCTGAATCTAACGACAAAATGAAACATATCAACAAAAGTGTAAAAAATGATGTTTCTGAAATTGATGGCAAAATGAAACATATCAACAGAAGTGTAAATAACGATGTTTCTGAAACTGATGACAAAATTAAACATATAAACAAAAGTGTAAATAATGATGTTTCTGAAATTGATGGCAAAATGAAACATATCAACAGAAATGTAAATAACGATATTTCTGAAACTAATGATAAAGTGAAAATGAAATAACGATATCTCTGAGAAGTGTAAATAATGTAAATAATGGTGCTTCTGTAATTGATGACAAATTGAAACATAGCAACAGAAGTGTATTTAATGATATTTCTGAAATTAATGATAAAATGAAACATACCAACAGAAGTGTAAACAGTGTTGTTTCTGAATTTAATGACAAAACTTAACATCTCAAAAGAAGTTTAAATATTGTTGGTTCTGAAAATAAAGATAAAATGAAACATATCAACAGAAATGTAAATAATGGTATTTCTGAAACTAACGATAAAGTGAAACATACCAACAGAAGTGTAAACAGTGATGTTTCTGAATTTAATGACAAAACGAAACAAATCAACAGAAGTGTACACAATGATGTTTCTGAAATTGACGACAAAACTAAACATCTCTACAGAAGTATAAATATTGTTGGTTCTGAAAATAAAGATAAAATGAAACATATCAACAGAAATGTAAATATTGATGTTTCCGAAACTGATAACAAAATTAAATACATCAACAGAAGTGTAAATAATGATGCCTCTGGAATCGAAGATGTTGATACAAATACTGTAGATGCTCATATTGACATAGCTGATGAAGATGATAATATTGTAAATGTTGATAAACATGTTGTAGATAATGTCGATGTTGACATTTATGATACTAACGCTGATGATTATGGTGATGATGATGATGATGATGATGATGATGATGATGATGATGACTGCATTTTAAACTATTCCGCTCTTATGTTTTAAGTGTTAATGTATGTGGACAAAGAAAAAGATTAGAGTATTCGGAATTTGTTAAACTTATAGAAAGTAAACATATTTTTGGACTGCAAGAAACTAAAACAAATGAATTAGATGACATACATCTTGATGGGTATACACTATCGCACAGGAATAGAGTAAAAACTAACAGAAAATCAGGAGGAATTGGAATAGCTGTTAAGAACGAGTACAAAGATTTTATTACATTAGTAGATAAGGATAATGATTATGTAATGTGGATAAAACTGTCAAAAACTTTATTTGATATTGAGCAAGATCACTATTTAGGAATAGTGTATATCCCCCCGGATGGATCCAGATATGTTACGCATGACACTTTCCTCGACCTAGAACTTTCAATTATGCATAAGCTTACGAAAAGTGAATATGTTACTCTAATGGGTGACTTCAACCCCAGAGCAAATACCTTATGTGATTATTCTGTATACGATGACTTTCTTACTGAAGAGATTGATTTCGATGAAATTGGAGATATATGCCCTGGGAAATATTTACATGATTTAAACCTTCCTCTAGAAAGATCAATTCAAGATGTCGGTAAAGTAAACAATTTTGGTTATGCACTTATAGATATTTGTAAGAATTTGAATTTATTCATTGTAAATGGAAGGGTGGGAAATGATAAACATATTGGGAAGTTAACTTGTAATGACAAAAGTTTAATCGATTATGTTCTTACTTCCCCCAAAAGTTTAAAACTTTTTACCGATTTGGATGATTTAGACTTTTCTCCCCTCACGTCAGATGTTCACTGCCCATTATCGTTTACACTGAAAAGCAAGTCTATTCCCGATGTAGTAAAGAAACCTTAACTTATTCATCATGTAGATAATAGTAAAACGGCTAAACCTAAACGTTATAATCTCGATAAAAAAGCAACTTTTCGCCAAAATGTTGACATGAATAAAGTAAATAAACTTACAAATTTTGTCCGTACAGCGGTATCCAACCATGAAGATTTATCGATTATCAACACGCTCTCCGATCGCTTCGCGCACGTGCTTGTTAATGCTGCACGTGAAACATTTGGGACACGACAACATATGAAATACACACCCCGCTATCGTAAGAACAAGCCGTGGTTCAATACAAAATGTAGAAAGTTCAGAAAAAGATTCCATAAAGCAAAACGAAAAGTTAAGGAAAATAAATCACAGTCTAATCTTCAAAACCTACGCACCGAATCGAGAGCTTACAAGAAATGCCTAGATGAACATATTAGAAAACATAGGATATCTCTTGAAAATATGTTTAGAGAAAAAATGAAAAAGTCACCGAAAGAATACTGGGAATTTCTGGAAAGATAGAAACTCGAAAGATAACATCGCGATGCCTGATACCAAAACTTTTTTTGAATACTATACAGATCTAAATGCAGAAAATTACAGCGAACATGAATTGAATTTCAAAGAAAGTAACCATCCCGATTTGGAATATGACTGTAGTATTCTTAATAAAGACATTAGCATTGAAGAAATTATGTCTACCGCCAAAACACTCAAACGAAATAAAGCAGCGGGCTTGGACAATATTGAAAATGATTACATAATCGATACTATTGACATCTTTGCCCCCTTCTATGTTCAATTTTTCAACCTCGTTTTTACAACAGGTAAAATTCCCGATTCTTGGCTGATTGGAGTTATAAAACCGATATACAAAAACAAGGGTGACCAACTTGACCCAAGTTCATACAGACCTATAACTGTTTTAAAGCTGTGTTGGAAAATTCTTTACCTCTATACTTAACTCGCGTTTAACATCTTTCCTTGAACAAAACAATATCATTACTCCCGCTCAAGCAGGTTTTTAAAAACATTTTACAACATCCGATAACATATTTATTTTGCGGACAATTAATAGCATACTGACATCACAAAGGCAAAAGCTCTACTGTGCCTTCATCGACTTCACAAAAGCATTTGATACTGTCTGGCGAATCGGTCTATGGACGAAGATGCAAAAGTCCGGTATACATGGAAGATTTCTTGAGCTCGTAAAAAGTATGTATCGTAACATTAAGTCAACAGTAAGTACACAAAACAGTTCATCCGATTATTTCCCATGTCAAAAATGGGTACGGCAAGGAGAGAACTTATCGTCACTTTTATTTTCAATTTTTCTTATTGATCTAGAGAATAATCTGTATGAAAATGGTTGCAAAGGAGTTAACTTGGAATTATCTAACGAAAATGAAATACAAATCTGGCTGCAAATTTTATTGTTACTTTACGCTGATGACACTGTTTTATTTGCCCTTACTCCTAAAGCCCTACAAAAGTCTCTTGATTCCTTCTATGAATATTGCACTAATTGGCAACTCAATGTAAATGTATCAAAAACAAAAATTTTAGTATTCGGTTCAGGCCCAGCGGCTAAATCAAAAATGATATTTAAATTTGGGGAGAAAAATCTTAGTTTAGTGGACAGTTATGTATATCTTGGTATAAAACTACACAGAAACAAAAGAATGGTAACTAGCATAAAAACTATAACCGAAAACGCTACAAAGGCTATGTATAGCCTGCTGAAAAAAACAAGAAATTTGAATTTACCCTTAGATTGTTTATTATCGGCATTTGATGTGATGATAACACCTATTTTAACCTATGGATCAGAATTGTGGGGATTTGAAAAACTTGACCTAATAGAGAATATACATCTAAAATTTCTGAAACTTGCATCTGGACTAAGGAAATCTACGCCAAATTTTATGGTTTACGGCGAACTTGGCAGAACTCCAATATCTATAAAAATATGCCAACGTATGTTATCCTTTTGGCACAAACTAACATATACTGATACACTTAAACTATCCCATGTGTTATATAATTACAGTTTAAATAAATACAATAAAAAATTTAAGTCGGATCCTTGGATTCACTTTATCAAGGGTTTACTAGATAGAATTGGATTATCATATGTATTTGTAAATCCCTCGGTATATACCACGTCTTCTCTAGTTTTGAAAGCTGGACAAGTTTTAACAGACCAGTTTATTCAACAGTGGAGGGAAAGTATCAAATCTAGCCCGAAAGGAATGTATTATCAACATTACAAACAATTACTTGCTTTTGAAAAATACCTACTTTTACCGAAATATGTTTCTGTGCCGATTTTAAAATTTAGAACTTTAAATGTAAACCTGCCAATTGAGACTGGAAGATGGCAAAGTATACCGAGGGATGAAAGATATTGTACACTTTGTAATTTAAGTGTAATCGGTGATGAATTACACTATATTCTTAAATGTCTAGCACTTAATTCATATCGTGAACAATACATACCCACCACAAAATATCTTACCAATATATCTAAATTAGTCTTTGTTCTGTCGCCGACTACTACAGGATATGAGAAATGTTTGTCAAATTTTATCATACAGTTGCAAAAATTGCTAACCAATCTTTAATAAGCGTTTGTGTTTATCCACCTATTAATATATGCACTTATTTATATATAGGGAACGGTACATATGTATAAGGAATTATTTGTTGTATTCTAAGAAGCATGCCTATGAATTGTACATAAATTGTTGTTAAAATATGTTCTTGTGCCACCGAAGGTGGTTTTTTGAGTAATAAAATTGTCGAATTGTCGACAGCCTCGTATGACGAGGGGTGTCTTGTAGCGTTGCTACCTGCTGTGCGTGGTTAGGCTACGTTTCTTTGTATCAGGCTTGGACACCTGAGGATGCAGGCCTCAGATGAATGGATGTTATCGTGAATTGTCTCACAGCAAGACAAAGAAATTAAATAGATCGTGACATTGTACGTATGATTGTTTATTCCCACAAACAAGAGTGGCATTTGCGTCCCTGAAAAATACCATTATGCTTGGCTCAAAACATGTGGCAAAGATACTCGTGCAGCAGAAGGATTTCAGTGTGACTCTTTTAGGGAGTATGAAATAAATTTCCGTGCATGGAAACTCGCAAAAGTAGGGTTTGTCAAAATTAACAAATAATTGTACTTTTGTTTTAGTAATTATTATTTCAGTCTGATCATGTTGATTAGACAAACTGGTGATTAACATCATGAGCTTCGAACAGCAAAACGTGGAAGCAAAGGCATCCATTCCAGCGAGTCACCGAATATGATATGGTCGCCTCCAACGTCATGTTTTAACTTTTGTCGGAAACCATCACGTGCCCAATCCTTTAATTACCTCACGATTATATATTTTGGTTTGTTACTGACATACACAGAGACTCCTAGAACTGCCCTCGGACACTATACTTACCTACAATTATCTTCTTGTCGCCGCTGCAGCTAAGTTCACGATATGTCCCGTCACATGTAAAGTTGATTTTAATGTCTCCGTCATGCGCAGATGTGACTTCCAAGGCCTCGCTGACGACGGTACTGTTAACGTCGACAACGTGGTGTCTGGGTACCAGCTCCTGCTGGACACTTCCGGTGATGAGATCGAACGCAGCCTCCTCGGTACAGTAGTAGTTGGTGATGTTAACAGTGAGAGTCAGGTTTGTACCAGGAATCAGGGATCCATTCTTGGAGCTGCTAATGTCACACTCCGGAGGACCTGTGGATTAATAGATAACGGCTAACATGCATTTCTTAACTTTAACAAGCCACAGGTTACACACATGTTATTTGTATGATGTGAAACGCTATATTTTATCCATTATACGTTTTGGAAGTAAATACTACTTTATACACAAGATAGCGTATGAACGTACGAGAAAGCATGAATGTACAATAACTTTAAAAAGTAAGAGGGTAAGTAAAGTAGTATTATTGATAAAAATATTATCTTATAATAATCATCACATTTATTGACGTGAATATTTCTTACACTCGAAAAAGCACCGGTAAAACTGAGTTCAAGGGACCGTAGGACATAATCACAAAAAAAGATTCTATTTGCTGTAAACTCTTTGAGGCATGGCAAGTGTGTCTCTTGTCATCCTGATTCTTCTGAAAAATTGAGTTGTATAGAAAAGGTGTGTGTGTGTTCTTTGATTGTCGAGTTTTAAGGACTTTCATTTATAACTGAAGACTATTCATGCTTATATTTTACTGAGATGTGAAAAGTGCACCGAAATGGAACAGAGACAGGAACATTTATACATCAATAAGAGCACATATGATTTACTTACACAATTTTTCGAATGTTCACAAAATACATGTAAGAGACCTGCATGTAATCTGTTTTTTATCTGATAATTTCTACTTACTCTTGAGAAGTTTCACAGCTCCATGACAAACGAGATTATACGTTGAGTTGTCACACGTATAGTCCAGTTGAACATTTCCAAGTCGTTTTAGTGTTACGTTGAAGGTGGTGTTGAGGACGATGTCAGTGACAACAGTAACTGTGTTGTTCTTCAGCAACACCTCGGGTACATCACGGCCAGTAGCTAGTTCAAACCCTGCCAGTTTAGAGCAGTAGTAACCCCGTATGCCTGCGACTAGTGTCAGCTCTGAATTGGGTTCAAGGGAATCGTATGGCAGAGAGCTATTGATGGTGCAAGATGGAAGACCTGTTAACAAAAGAAGAAATTTGACATTTCTTTTTAACAAGATTAGTTCTCTTTTAGCTCCCGGCCGTTATCAGTCATTATTCGACTATGGTCAACAAGTAAAGACAATATTGAACAAATTTTATGGATAACAACTTCTTATATGTTGGGACTGCGACGTTTAGATACAGATTCCTGTACCGTTATCAAGCAGGAATTACAAGATGTTGTTACCCATAATGTTCAATATGTTAAGACCGAACTCCTGAAATACCATTAAAAAAAGTACAGACAAAAGGCAAATACATTAGGTAGGTAATGGTAGGTCGTTTATCAGTAACCAATCTGGGATATGTTATATGTCATTCATGACCAAGCTGTTACAGTCCAGACATTCACGAGAGACATTCGTTTGTTTGGAAAGACTGAGCATGCTAAGATATGGTCAGGATACACCGGACTCCACAGTGCACAACAGAAAATGCTGTACTTAGTCATAATTCGCCTGACATTTTCTATCTCAAAAATTTAAAAGACAATGTCATCATGAAAACCAACCTGCGGCATCTAAGTGGCATACAGACATGTTGGCTGCAGCTGCATCAGTAACAGTCCATGTTCCAACATCTTTGATCTGAACTCTTTCCATCATCAGGGTGGAGATGTTCTGGGCATTTTTCTGTGTTGCAGTGTAAGGGGATACAGCACTGCAGTCTGGGTTGCATGTCACGACGTTGTGGTTATCACCTGGACGAACCCACACGAATTGAGGGAACATTATCTCGGTAGAGATGTTGTATTTTCTACCAAGAAGAGCAATCCCCTCGCAGGGAGTTTGTGTGGATTCTACAACTGAGATAAAATGATTATCATTACATATGATGTTACAGTATGATTTCATCTAGTCTATTTTTAACCCCAAAAATAAAAAACTTCAACATACAAACCAGAATGAGTGAGTGTAGTTGAGGACTGTTGTCATAAAAAGTCCAGCTGGTGATCATGAAGGCCGAAATGTAGCCATCATCGTCATTGACTTATAGCACAATGACAAGAGACACACAATGCCCACCCGTTCCAACTTTACTAGTTTTGACACTTGAGGATGACTGTTATTGGTTGGAGGCACAGAGGCCTCCAACATTACCATCCGGCTGAAATTTCTCTCAGGGAATGTTACAGGGAATATATGAAACCAGGGATTTCACGTAATCCCTAAAAGAGTCAGTGATTTCGTGAAATCACTGTGACCCCTGGGCATTCATGTATTCCCTAAAATTTCCAGCGATTTCATGAAATTACTGAAATATTGGCTTAGCGATTTCATGAAATCCCTGTAAGACTTTATTGAAATACAGCCACAAGAACATTAACTTGGTACCCCGAGTCAAGGTAGTAATTAGCCAAAAGCGTCACCGGTAAATTGTCAGAACTGAGGGATGACATGAGACTCAACAGTAAAGTTTTAACCGACAAACATTAATTTCGCACATTTACTGATATCTTAACATGACATCTGTGTAATGGAACACCATGAAACTCAGTAATTTCATGAAATCCCTTGAAATTATATGGAATACATGAATCCTTGGGGGTCAGCGATTTCACGAAATCACTGACTCTTTTAGGGATTATGTCAAATTCCTGGTTTCACACATTCCCTGTAATATTTATACACATGTAATATTCAAAATAACTTTTAGCCAATGATACTTAGTCTCTTTGTATTGTGGCAATTCCAAATCACCAATGAACTTAGCAGTAGCAAATTAGGAGCCACATGACCATGTGGGTAAACCGAAATGAATGTCCTGCTTTACTTCATAGTTAATGAAATATAATATAGTTAATAGAAATCGAGTTTTCTATAAATCTAATTTAATTTACGATTTTGATCAAAAATGTTTATAAACTGATACACTTTCAATAAAAAAACACATTTTACGCGCAATAGAGCACACTTCGAGTATTAGTTCAGTGCTTAATTTAGAATTGCAGAATCCGAAAATCCTTTCCATTTTAGTAACAGAAATTACCTTTAAGGAAAGGAAACGTACATGTTGTACAGTCTTTGTAATCACTTTGCGAACCCAGACGCCGGCAGTGGCACGTCTGAACAAGTCTTACACATGGAAACTACTGTTGCCGTGAAAATGATGCTGTCAGAACTTACCTGTCACAAACTGAGCTGACCACATGATGATGTTGCAAATCAACACCATTCCCAAAGTCATCATTTTCCTATGCAGAATTAGCTGGAAGAAAATATGGCATTAGATCCAGCGCATTAGGCATTGGTTTTCATCGTCATTTTATGACGAAAAGGCAGTGGATTGTGATCAGTGTACACGTGTACTGGAAACAAAGTAGTGACATGGTACAAGTCAAACTGTTGCAGAGCTAATTACAAAACAAGAGTTACTTTTTGTGAAAATAATTTATCTTATGATAAACATTCAGGGAAGTATATCATTGCAAATATTTACACAATATATTTCACATGTATCACTCAGGAAAGTAACAATTCCATAACTGTTCATGAATTCGAGATTATAGGCAATCGCAAGCTATATATTGCGAGGAAACGTGTGTGAAATGTGGCAATTTTATCGATTGTGCAATAATACAATTTGCAAAGGTAATTCTGTGGGTATTTATCCGCCATCACGATCTGACGGACACATATCAGAGAAAGTGTTCCGTGTATGATGTCACGGTTATTGGTATTGTGTGAAAGGGTAGGCAAGTGGTCAAGGTTGCATTCAGACAGGTGAAGTGTTTGATGCCCATCCTGAAATCTTATTACCAATCCAGTCATAACTGCAGCCCAGTGTGGGAAACTCATAACGTACCGTCCTAAATTGTAATTACAGGTTAATCTAACTGGTGTTTTTGGTTTTGTCAAATAATGATTTAGATCAATTCAGAAAGAACATACATTTTGAAGCATCGATTCATTATGGTCATTTCAGATGCGTTCATGAACTCAAGAGGCGACTGTCACGTCATTTACAGCACTGCGTTAGTGTTGCCACAATTAAACACAGGGGAGTTTGCACTTGTGTGCGTACATCCGTGCCTCTGCGGGTATTTCAGAATTATCGCCACGGGGCTGTACACGCTGCACTAGCCTGGAAACCGAACCCGGTCCGTGGCGTGACAACGGCGACACTTTAACCCCTAACACTTTAATTTTAACCATTAGTGAAACTGCTAGCCAAAAAGATTGCGAAACGGTGTTTCAAACCTGTGGGTAATAACAATGTAAGGAGATATGAACCCAGTTTTCACTGGCTGTCGATTACTGTCTGTGATTATTGGTCACGTTTTCAATCGGTGTGGAAGAATACCATGGTTTACTGTTAGATTGAACTCCCTGATGTTGTGTTTCGTTTTTTTCAGGACTATGCACGTGCATTTTGTAACCATCTGTGGCATGCATTGTTTCCTTGTATATCAAGATCAGAAGAAATACACGTGATCAAATTCACTCGTTCACTCCCTCATACACTCACTCACTCATGGAAGTATAGGTATTGTCTTTTGCAGATTACAGCAGTGTTCTAGCAATAGCATAGTTATTCCAGTTGGACCCATGTACAGAATCGAAACCGGACTTTCGGCGTGACGACTAGGTTACCATTACGTATCTCGTTTCTTTGTTTCTTGTTCAATGTTGTATGATGGCGATCTGTAAATAATCGAGTCTTGACCAGACAATCCAGTGATCAACAGCAGGAGCATTGATCTACGCAATTGCGACACGATGACATGTGTCAACCATGCCAGCGACCCTGACCACCCGACCCAGTTAGTCTCAGGACAAGCATGGGATGCTGACGACCAATTCTAACCCGG